ACATTAAAAACTATTTTGCATATAGTAAATATGTTTCATCACCATTTATTACATTCTTCTATTGTATGAAAAGAAGTCATTCTGTTAAATTTTGTAGAATCAAAAAGTATGTTATACCAAGAGGTAGAATGAAGTGGATTCCCAAGAATTCATTTCAAATAACCTGATTGGACCCAATGACTACAAAAAAGGTACCAGATATATGTGAAATCTGTTTTGCAAGAACAAAATCTGGAAGTTCTTTGGTACCCAATCAACAAATTTTGTTTCTGGATTCATGGACTGTGTATTTTAATTGATATAAAATTGTTTTAATCGATTAATTCCACTTACAGAGTATACCAGAAAAACTGTTTGTACAATTTTAATCGATTAAAATATGAATTAATCGATTAAAATGCTTTCAGGATATTTAGTATGCTTGTTTTAATCGATTAAAAAGTATTTACATCAGTTAAAATCATTAAAAGGCCAAATTTAATCGATTATTTCTCGATCTAATCGATTATTATTCTGATATATTCTTTCCAGAACAAGATTAATCGATTCAATAACAAATTAATCGATTAATATTCTGCTTTCAGTGCAGAATTAATTGATTATTTCGATTCTATATCAGTTGTACTGCAACTATACTAATTTCTCTTTCAGGAACAACAAATTGAAGATCTCTGGTACCTTGACAGCGGCTATTCTAAACATATGCAGGTGATATTACAAAGTTTTACAATTTAAAACCAAAAAAATGGTGGGACTGTTGTCTATGGAAATAATAACAAAGGAAGAATTCTTGGAATAGGTGACATCAAATGCACAAAATCAGGTATTATTAACAATGTATTATATGTTGAGGGTTTAAAACATAATTTGATCTGTATTAGCCAGTTGTGTGATAAAGGACACAAATTATCTTTGGTCAAGATCAATGTCAAATTATCAAATCAGATTCAGAGCAGGTACTGATCATTGGTAAGAGAATCAACAATATTTACATGTTAGATACTAATTCTGCTAAAAATTGTTGTTTAATTTCTAAAGAGAATGATTCCTGGTTGTGGCATAGGAGGTTAGCTCATATTCATATGAATCACCTTAATAAATTGATTTCTAAAGATCTTGTGAAAGACAAAGTACTCCTCTATTGCGCACACAATGTTCTCGAAATCATCTGTCAATGATCTCAAATTTTTTTCAATAACTCGGTTTGATGAAAGACTCTCACCATTCTGATTCAGCTTGTTCACCATGGTCTCCACCCGAGTAATGAACTCGGATACGCTTTCAGACTCTTTCATTATCATGTTTTCAAGCTCGCCCCTAAGGGTTTGAAGTCGAACTTGTTTCACCCTTTCATCTCCTTTGTTTGCTTTTTCAAGTGTATCTCATGCTACTTTGGAAGATTTTGCGTTAGCTATCTTCTCAAAGCCAGATTCGTCAACGGCTCGGTATAGTAGATACAAAGCCACCTTGTCTTTAGCTCGAACGACCTTCAATGTGTTCAGCTGGGCATTTGAATACCCATCTGTGTTCGTCGGTTCCTCATACCCATTCTTGACCACATCCTAGTTATCTTGGGAGCCGAGAAGAGCCTTCATTTGTACCTTCCAGTTGTCATAGTTGGTGCCTTTCGTCAACTTGGGTAGTGGGATGCCATTGGTTAGACCTGCCATTTCCTCTCAAGTGTTTGTACTCAACTCAGACACCTCACAAAGTTCTGAGTCGCTCCTCTCTCTTTCTCAGCCAGCACACACTGCAGCGTTCTCTCTTGAGGCTTGGTGGGCTCTCTCACACTCCACCTCACACACAAGCTCTGATGCCAATTTGTTGGTAACAGGAAAACAAAACAACGCTCTCAAATTTTCTCCTGATGCAATTTCAAATGAGTTGTTACAATTATTTATGGCCAAAATATTTGCCTCTTCAAATGTCAAACGTAAATCATAATACATATTAAATAGGTTTACAACCCATTGGTTATATCACTCGTAATTAAAACCATTAATATTATTCTAGGAATACTAAACGTCTAATTTAAGTTTTACAATATTCTGATCTCTTTTTCCTTAGGGTGAGATAGTTCTCCAAAAATTGTGTTTTTCCAATCTTCTTTTAACCTTGAGAGCTCTGAGGAAAGTTGTTTATAGTACTTTCTCATGTTGGAGTTGAGATGTTGGAGCTTATTATCAGTCTCCTCAAGGTATGTAGAGATCTTATCTATCTTCTGGTCTATCTGTTGCAAGATAGAATTTTGGGAACTAACGTTCTCTATTTGCCAATTCAGTACTTCCCTCAGCCTGGCTTAAAGGTTTCGGCTTTCCATCAGGACTGACTTCTTATCTAACAACATGTGGCTTAGTTATCGTTTTAGACACGGGATCAACATTCCTCTCCAGAGGAGGAAATTCTTCTTTGTAAGCAATCAGGTTGATCATCATACATGGGATGGAAGGAGTAATAGGATGTGGCTTGGTAAAGGTTCTGCACCTTTCCTGTTTCGAGAAGAGGAGACCTTCCTCTTTAGGAATATCAACACATCGTTGGTATTTCTAAGAGGGATCTGGTTTCTCTTAGCGATTGATTCCTATCCAGGGACCTTTTCTTGGTTCGAATCTTCTATTGGGAGAGAAAGGAGGTTTACAGGATCCTCCTCTGTAGTCATCATCTTCATCGTCCGATTCATTGCCATCCCCATCACTGGTGTCTCCAGTGTGATCGCAACAGTCATAGTCGAAATCACACATGTTTGAGTTTGTATCCTAGATAAAGTGTCCACCTATCTTATCTATGAAGATAGGTTTACCGTCAGGGCCCTTCTTTGTTTCTTTGGTGACAAGCGTTATCATCATGGACTGAAAGATGGAGGTGCTCAAATTGAGAACATCTTCAGGATTTTTGAAGTTGGTCTTGACCGTGCCGTCTACAAATCTTCTGAATGTTTCTTCAGTGAACTAGATAGGTTTCTAGTTGACGTGAAGCTTCTCATAGTTAGTCACCCACTGTATTGGAATAAACTTCTACAACTCTTGTTGAAATATGGAGGGTGTCTCATCTTGGTTATTAGTCAAGATGAATAGTACTCCATCTTTATAGGAAGGTAACACAAGATTTATAGCATGTTGCAACCTGTAAATAATCTGATGATGGAGGTTGGCTGATAGTGCATCAGCTACCTGTTTAGCTCTAGTGATCTGGATCTGAACTTTTAATCTCTGAGAGATGCTGGGATCTTTCAAGCTAATGTTAAAGTTGAGAAAGATGGTCAGAACTACACTCCCAACATGAAGAGTAGTCAGAACAGTACCGATAACAACATGTTCATAATGGAGGTAGCTAGAGTCCAAGAGAGAGACTCTTGCTGAGACGGGTAGTCCCCGTCTTTCATGGAGGGAAATGACTAATCGTATGGCTTCGTAGTGGAGATGAGTGTATCCTTCATTCTGTCAGTACCTAATGAGATCCTTGGAAATCTCGATGTTGATGTACTATTCTTCTGTGACAGAGACAAGGGCACACTGGTCCATCATTGAGGATTGAACATACTCTTTGACTTGAGGTCTTTTGATAAAGATGAGTATGGAGATTGATTTAAAGGTAGATCTTTGTCTCTTAAAAATATTATAAGGGCTTAGAAGAGGATTGTACATTTTGGCATCTTCCGAGATATAAATATTCTATAAGGTTTTCTATTTTAGAGGAAAGGGTTTTTGAGATATTCTTAGGAAGAGAAAGAGTGAAATTTAACAAGACGGGACCAGACTCGGTTAATTGTGTTTGATTATCAATTTCTAAAGATTTCTCTTAGTCGTCTTCCATATATATTTCTTATTATCGTACCCTCTTCTATATATATATATATATTGTTAAATTTAGTTTTATTTTTAGATTTTAAATATAGTTAAAGAGAACCATTTTGAAAAAATATTTTTTGAAAATAATTAAAAAAAAAACTTGTTTGATAAATCTATTTTAATTTTTTTTTAAAAGCGACAAATAATTATGAAAAATCATGACAAAAATAAAAAAATGATTTTGATAATTTATAATGATAACAATAAGTGATTTAATGTAATTATTATTGAAAATGATGATACTCATTAATACAAACAAAAAATCAAAATCAAAATTTATTTTAATTTTTTTAGTTTTAAAAAACTAAAAAATTTTTGAAAAACAATTTTAATAAAAAGTTATTAAACACTTCTTTTAATTTTTAAAAACTATAACTATTTTTAAAAAATATAATAAACAGTCTTACAAAACATAAAAGTAACAAATTCACATGCTTCACCGAGTTGTAAAATTATGTGCCGTAGTCACCAGTTTTATCAATAAACAAATTGTTATATTAATTGGGTCTTTACTCTAATCACCATGATTTTAGTCACTTATTTAAATTTAAAATCTTATATAAAAAATTGGAATAAATTATGAGGTGTTAGTAAATTAATGTCATTTACTGCCTCAAATTTTATTTAATAATAGATATTAAAATTATAAACATATAAATAAATATATTTGATAAAAGACAAATTATAAATATACCCTCTCTCTTATCCTAAAGAACCCCCACTTAATGTGGTGTTAAAATTAATAGGGTGCCCACGTGACCATGAGATGACTGCAGCCAAATTATCAGCAAATTATGGATGCTATGAAGACTTGGGAAAATGTTGTCACTTGGCACCATGCCATTCAGAGAAGCTAATAGAATGGCAATTTAAGATTTTTTTGTGATTAAACCATTAGAAAAGTTTTTTGTGAGTGATCTAGCGTCTCTTGATATTTGTTGTAAAAGCTAGTTTGGAATCGTAGCTCCACAAAAAAATAAAATCTTTTAAATGATGCTTGCTGATATTACTGAATAAGATCACTATCAAGTACAAATTACATAGGTTTTCTTTTGTCTCTCTTCATAATTTTTACATACATGAGGCTAAAGCAAAACATAAATGTCTTCTGGACAGTGAAACTACCTAGAAAAGGTATCTCTTGCTGAACTTCTACAAATACCGAATGAGTTCCACTGCGAACTTTCCTTTCTTTGTGGAGTTTATTTGTCCTATCTGGTCCCAACAAGAAGGCTTAACCACATATAATATATCCAAAGTCATTAAGATAATCCAGGACTTATTTTAGGTATTGTCAAGTTACCTTTAATCTTCCCTTTCCACTAACTGATACAATATCTCCACTCTTGAGTGTGGTTCCTTTGGTAGTAACAGGGATCCAGTTGACACGCACATCACCATTGCTACAAGCATATGTACAACACAGTTATCATATCTAACCAAGGTCTTGTCCTCAAGAGCAAGCCATGCAAAATGTTCATTGGCTATACATATAGGTTATATGCCAAAATAACTACAGAAATCTGAGCATTTTTATGTGCAAGAACATGAGTACATTTCTGGATATTGGCAACATTGAAAGTAAGGGGAAGAGTAAGCCATGCAACTGGTGTGTTATAGCTAATCAGATGCAGAGACATTCAATCTATTCATAAGTTTTTGTAATGTTCATAACTTCGTTGTGGGCAATCGACAATTTACAAATAATTGACAGATGAGACATACATTAGTTGGAGATTACCAACCTGATCATGTCAACTAGCTTTGAACGTGAGATCTTAAATCCAGCACTAGCTAGTGCATCAACTCTTAGCGATAATTCTACAGTTTTGAATGATTTTGTTCTGCACAATAAACAAAATTGGTAAAGTCTGACTGACAAAAATATTATATGATGTTGAACCCAGTTTAATACTGCACCTTGGCGGTTCATAATCAAGAGAAATTAATGGTATCTTGGTGCAAGTTACAGGAACATTACGAACCTGAATAACAAGAAATCAGTCAGAATATAAATAGTATCAAATAATTATGATCATTATGAACATTAGAAACAAAATTATTGTAAATTATTTCAAAATTTTCCATGTGAGTTTTCGTTTCAAGTAGCTCATTCTCTAGAGTCTTCACCCGATTTTCTAATAAGTTATGCATACATTTTAATCGATTGTTTACATTAGTTAAATTTTTTGTTTCATTATGCATTTCATTACAAACATCCAATAAAGTGTTGTAATTCATTTCATTTTCGGAAGGAATGGAACTTATACTGTTGGATGAGGATTCATAGCTTGTCATCAAACATAATTTCACTTCCTCATCTTCTTTTGATGAATTAATTGTTCGGGAATCATTATCTTGTCATGCGAGGGCAAGTTTGGTCATCACGGTGAGATACCAATGCAGAAGAATCATTAACAGAAGCAGGTGTGTAAGGGTTGAGTTTTGCTGGTACACACAAAAGAATAGAGCAGGTCGAAGTTAAGGTGGGGACAACTAGAAAACCCAAAATCTGATCACGGATATGTGAATATTGATCAGCAAATCCATGTAATGCCCCTAGCATGAAGAACTTTGATCGTTGTGCTATCTCGGTGGCAGGGTCGGGAGAAGGAGGCAATAACTCATTAAACTCATGAAAAAGACCATGAATTTTGCCCATATAATCAGTCATAGAATCTTAATGTTTAGAGTCAATAACATCTACAAATTTAGAACAGACACCATAGAGACGTTGAGAATCATTGGTGTATAATAACTTGGCATATTCCCAGATTTTGGCACACGTTTCGTAGGAACGAAAAATCTGTTTTAACAAAGGATCAAGAGTATCCTTGAGAACCACACATAATTGAGCATCAATGGTGTCCCAACGGTCTTCCTCATCAGGAGTGAGAATAGGTGCTTTTGGGGTAAGATGATCAAGATACTTCTGACTCTTAAGCTATAATCTGACGTCTGATGGCCATGTGGCATAATTAGAGTCAGTTAACTTGTTAATGAATAAGTGCACATTAACATAGTTAGTGCAGACGAAAGGATCAGACGCAATACTGACAGAATTGGAAGTACTAGAAGGAGCGAAAGAAGTCATGAAGGGAGGTAGAACAAAAAATGCAGTTAGAGACTAAACGGCGCTGGAACTCCGATAATGGTGATCTCAATGGCACGGTAGTCGCCTGACCAAGGCGAGCAAAACTGTATGTCGCCGGTCAAAAATGAAACTCCGGCGGCGACGACGATGACAGCGGCGCAAACCAGTAACCTAGGTAAGTTCCCAGGAAAGAGAAGTGGGTCACTAATGGACACGCTTAAATACCAAGTTTTTCCTTGTCAGAACCTTCCTAGACATGCACTTTCACACTACCAAATAATATCCAGTAACAAAGATAACTCTTTTCTGATGTGGAAGATCAATTTAACCGACAACGGCGGCAGTGTTGACTCCAATAGTGGACAAAGGCGAAAAAAATTTCAAAATAACCTTAAGCTCTAGATACCATGTTGAATATAAAGAAAATATGGTTTAAGATTAATCTCCCTTGTGTATAAATCACACATAGGGTAATCTATTTATAATAGAGAGAGGTACAACTAAAAATGTAAACAGAATAAACAGAAGATATTGTTTGATATTGTGGTTAACAATATCTAACAATATCTAAACAAATATCTAACACCTTTAAAAAGCTTACCTCAAGATTCTCCAAAATGAAAAAGGGTATTGCATCACTTTCATTAAAAATGAGCATGAAGGGGAATTTGACAATGAAAAGTTCAATCAATTTTGTGAAAAACCTAGTATAAAACAATTTTTCTGCTCCTAAAACTCTTCAACAAAATGATGTTCTTAAAAGGAAAAATAGGTAACTTGAGGAGTTTGCTAGAACCATGTTAAATGATAATTCTCTTCCTAATTGATCTATTATCAAACTTTGATTGAGTGCCTCATAGGGAAAGTGTTTGACATTTGTTAAGTAATTTTAATCTATTAAAAATCTTTGTAATCAATTAAAATGTTCTTGGTGTACAATTTTAACGGATTAAAATATCGTTTTAATTGATTAGGTCATGGTTTTAATCGATTAAAAAGTTTTTTACCCTTTTTGAAGAAAGTGAGTTTTGAAAAAATTAACCTGTTAAAAGGAAAATATATTTGTTAAAATGATCTTGTTCATTTTCACTTGTTTTTCTTAGCTCACAGTTTTAATATATTAAAATAAGTTTTAATAGATTAAAATTCTCTTGGTCATTTGATGAAATTTCTGCCAAAGCATTTTAATCAGTTAAACTAGAATTTAATATGTTAAAATGAACCTTTGCACTTAGCTTATTTTCAAATCTTACTGTTTTAATCAATTAACCTTGTTTTTATCATTTAAAACAAAACACTGCACTTAGTTGATTTTTTAAGTCCTTCTATTTTAATTGATTAAACATTTTTTTTCAATTAAAATGACTTGAAACTCTTTTAGCTTTCTTGTAGAAGCGTTTTAATCAATTAAAAGTACAAAATAATTAATGAATTGAACTTTTAGTAAAATCAATCGATTAAATTGACAATTGAATCAATTAAAAGGAACAAAATTCTCTATAAAAACAAATTGTTTACTTTCATTTTAAACACACAACTTTTACAAGTGCTTAAGCAATCTTTGAGAGTGTTTTTGAGATAGAATTCAGTGAAATACATTTACTCACGATTATACATAGATTTTGAAGCATTTTGATCATTTGCTTGGTGTGGCTGTTTCATTGTTTTTTAGGTGATACTCTCTATTTCTTTAATCTTCTGCTACGTTATAGGTATATTGATTGATACTTGTAGGTACTAGTATGTGTATAATCAAGTGTTGTTTTTGGAGGATCAAGAAGCTATTGTAGTAGATAGGTGGTATTCTACTAGTTGTAACCGTGAATTTCGTGTTTAGTGGATGTTCTTGGCTAGTGTGGTTGACAAAACTGGATGTATCTCTCAAGTAATTGAGTGGACTAGTATAAATCTTGTGTGTTGAATTCTCTCTTTCTCTTATTTTTATTTATTGCTTTTGTATTCTTGAATTATATCATACAAATCTTCTTGTATAACTGGTTCTTGAAAAAGATAATTCTTGATTCTAGAATTTGGGTTTTGCAAAAGTTTTAAAAGCTCAATTCACCCCCCTCTTGAACTTAGCCATTGTTTCTAACATAATATCATTTTAGTTTATTATTTCTTTATTGTCTTGGATCAGATAATGTTCTAGTAGAAACACCTTGGATGGGATTTCAAGACTTTGCTTCTAGAGCATTCAGTGAGTATTTGATGATTTGGAGTTGGGGGCTTAGGTTTTATCTATAGACTTGTCAGTTAATTCTCATGTGCGCTCAACCATAGTGACCTGTATTGTTAAAATATTGGTTTACATGGCCTACAACTCACAATTTCACGTTTTGCCTTGATCTCCCATTAATTTAGACACACTTCGGCTAGTTGTCTTTATTTTGAGCCATAACTTCTTTAGTTTTAATATGGGATGCCGCTTGGGATTTGACTTCACCCATGTCTTCAATGGGTTTTGGATCAGTAATTCGCCAAATAACCCTGCTCTCAAGCATTTTACAAAATCATCAACAAACATATTTTCATTTGGTTGAGGGATTTTAACCGTTACCACACAAAATCGTCTTAGATATAATGTCTTTGTACTTTTTGCCTTACATAAAAAAGGTCACCCAACTTTAGATGTTTTAATTTGTTAACAACAAATAGTTTTGAGCAATGACGAATCTTCTTAGGAGATTAGGGGAACCAAGACCCCCCCTCCCCCCAAAGTTTTGTAACTTACATTAGCAATTATGATTTTCGGTCCTCCCAAACTTAATGATTATTCCCAAAGTTTTGTAACTTATATTAACATTTATGATTTTGACCTCCCAAACTTAATGATTGTTAAATATATCTACTTATATATTTACAAATTTGACCTCTCACCCTTTCATTTTATTTTATTTTTTTCATATTCATTTATTATTTATTGATAATATATTATTTGACCCCCTCAAGATCAATAGTCAAGATTCGCCACTGGTTTTGAGAAGCTATCAAATAACTTTATAACCCCGTTCAGCATCAACTTTAGGCACCAAGTAATAGCCAAGAATTGGTTCTACATGACTTCACTCGAGAATGGCTGAAAATCACAGTTGGTGTGTGGCTGGAGTCGATCCTTCTTCCCTTTAATAGCTGTCGAAGAGCTTGTTGTAGTTCTTTATTTTTTTGTTGAAATTGGTCTTGTTCCACCCGCCTCTTTAGATTTTTGACTCACCTCTTCATGTTGTTGTCTTAAATCATCCATCATTTGCATGACCTGTTGAAGTGTGAGGAATCATCTTCCCCATTATGTTGAGAATCCCCTCTTGAACCTCTCATCTTTCCTATATCGATTCACTTGTAGGAAAATTTTTACCTGAACCATAGGAGATACCAAAATGTTCTAGCAAAATCGATTTTGGATAAGATTTCTAGACTCCTCTACTAGAGCATTTAGTGAGTATTTGATGATTTGGAGATGGGGGCTTAGGATCTATTTATAGACTTGCTAGTTAATATGCTTGTCCTCTCAAATATGGTGGCTTATGTCTATTGCGATACTGGTTTAAGTGGTCTTTAACTCACGACGGTTTCATGTTTTCCCATTAATTTAGGTACACGCTATGGGTCATTAAAGCTCATGCATCTGTTATTTTTGGCCTCAATGACTTGGTGCTCAAGTTTTACATTTTAGATTTCCACATACCCGACATGTATGAGGGGTCATTCTATGGACTTGTCTAGTTTAAGACATTAACATTGCTGTTAGATAATCCTCCAAAGGCATTCTTAACCAAGGTCTAAGATAGGTTGGATGTTGGTAACTAACTTTTGGAAGGTGCGGCCTTTTTACCAAATGCTCCCATCCTCTAAAGGTACATATACTAAAAAAGAAATTGGCCCTGAAGCACAACAAGATGTTTGATCTTGTTAGCTTAGAAGTTTATGGAATGGACATATATTATTCTTACAAATCAAGTTAAGCAATATTTGTCTATGTGAATATAGATATCTCTATAATATTTTATTTTGAATATTCAGCCGTACTAGTAACATAGATTTTTTTAAATTCTTGAATCCAAGTAATTTGGAAACAATGTTCATATCCACATCAATGGCAATCAAATATTTACTATTAAAATGTTCTTGGAATTAAGAGTTTATCCAGAAAAAGAGTAAAAAGCATTATGTGAAATAACATTACCTTAACCAGAGTTGAAATGAGAAATTCAACGAGTTCTGGCACAACAATTATCTGCGCACCCTGTTCTCCCTGGATAACAAAACCAACAAAGTCTAAGTTTCCAAAAATATGTGGACTGGTGTACAAGCACACATGGTAAAATAAAACTCAATGAATGCAAATAAGAAAATGTAATCCAGGTCATGTGTATATTTTAACTTGCAGTGAACCAGTTAATCATCAACATAGGTGCCATCCAAATTATATAGAGCTACAGAGGGAACACTACTTGTGGGAAATCAAATAGTATTTTAAGAAAGAATAAATCAGGAAATTTGTATATTTCCTTGTAATCTGTACAGATTTGAATAATTAGGAACAATCCCATAAATCAAGGGATCCTAGCATAAAATAGAGTTATTATATTTCCTAAAATAGCTTAGGTCTCCTATATATATCTTATATCATCTCTTTGTATTGATATATTAAAAATCATATTTCAGTTAATCTAATTTTCCAGATGGTATCAGAGCTTCCGATCTAGGAAGCTTTGTCTGCGCGCGATAAACCCTAAGACGGCAGCCTGCATTGCTGCTGCATATTTCTTAACCCTAAGACGGCAGTCTGCATTGCTGCTGCATTTTTCTTAACCCTAAGACAGCAGCCTGCATTGCTGCTGCATTTTTCTTAATCCTAAGACGACAGCCTGCATTGTTGTTGCATCGCACCTTTTTTGCTATAATGTCAAGGGAAGAGGAGATAGAAAGGATGAAAACCGTTCTTAGTAAGCTGGAAAAACCTACAGGTATGTGTTCTTTGGCATACTCAGGTAAGTTTCCACCTTCTTTTGGATTAAATGTCTCAGATACGCCTTTTAACCATTATTGGATATTGGACTCTGGAGCCACAGATCACATGACACCATTAGCCAAACACTTCTCCACATATTCCTCATGTCCCAGCAACAAGAAAATTGTCACAGCAGATGGAACCCTTATAACTGTAGCTGGTTAAGGAAATATCCAAATCAATCCTTTAATAACCTTAAAAGATGTTCTCCATGTCCCAAAGTTGTCCACGAACCTAGTGTCTATACAAAAACTTATAAAAGATTTGTCATGTAAAGCTGTTTTTTTCAATAATCATTGTGTATTTCAGGACAAGGATTCGGGGAGGATGATTGGACATGCTAGAGAATGGAATGACCTTTATTATCTCGAAGATCTAAGTCTGCCCAGCAAGAATAGAATCTCTCACTCCTTCATATCTGAATCCTTGATGACCAACAGAGAAAAAATCATGTTTTATCATTGTCGGTTGGGACATCCCTCTTTTGGAGTGATCAAAATTATATTTCCCTCTCTGTTTACCAAGTTAGATGTTGAGAGTCTTCATTGTGAGGTGTGTGAACTTGCTAAGCACAAGCGTATATCTTTTCCAATAAGTAATAAAATTAGCAATTTCTCTTTTTATCTTGTTCATACTGATGTATGGGGACCTTCTAATATTCCAAATGTGTCTGGTACTCGATGGTTTGTCACCTTTATAGATGACTGTACAAGGGTCACTTGGGTTTTCTTACTTAAACAAAAATCAGAAGTCAGTTTTGTCTTCCTAAACTTCCACTCCATGATAAAAAAATCAGTTTGGTGTTAATATTAAGAGGCTTAGGTCAGATAATGCCAAAGATTACTTCAATCATGTCCTTAATTCTTTTTGTCAAAAAGAAGGTATAATTCATGAGTCCTCTTGTGTCAAAACACCACAATAGAATGGGGTTGCAGAGAGGAAAAATGGACATCTATTAAATCAGACTCGGGCATTGTTGTTACAAAAAAGTGTCCCAAAAAATTTCTGGGGGAAGCTGTCCTTACAGCAACATACCTTATCAATAGACTACCCTCTAGAGTCTTAGGATCAAAAAGCCCTATGGAAGCTTTGTCGTCTTTCTATCCAAACTTGTCTTCTACAAATAATCTTAAACCAAGAGTTTTTGGGTGCATCTCATATGTCCATATTCATAGTACAGACAGGAAGAAACTTGATCCTAGAGCCTTAAAGTGTGTCTTTGTTGGTTACTCACCCACTCAAAAAGGGTATAAATGCTATCACCCCCCATCCAAAAAATTCTTTGTGTCTAGGGATGTTACCTTTGTTGAATATAGGGAAAAACTGTATAGGGTTAATTTCCCTTATGTATTTACCACACATAGGGCAGTGTATTTATAATAAAGAAAGGTACTCCTCAAAAGAGTAACAGAATACAAATATGGTAAATAAAAAGATATTATTTGATATTGTGATTAACAATATCTAACAATATCTCAACAATATCAAACAATATCAACTAATATCTAATCATATCTAACACTCCCCCTCAAGCCGGAGCATACAAATCGTATGTGCCTAGCTTGGTACAAAGATAATCCATCCTAGGTCCCCGTAAAGACTTAGTGAAAATATCTCGCTAATTGATCACATGAGTTAACGAACTCGGCCTTGATGTCTCTAGACATAATCTTTTCCCGAATAAAATGGCAATCAATCTCAATGTGTTTAGTCCTCTCATGAAAGACAGGATTAGAGCTTATATGGAGAGCAGCTCGATTGTCACACACTAGTGTCATTTGAGTGACATCTCCAAATTGTAGCTCTTTAAGCAATTGCTTGAGCCAAATAAGTTCACAGTGTAGCTGAGGCCATAGCTCTATACTCGCTTCTGCACTCGGATCTTGCCACAACACTTTGTTTCTTACTTTTCCATGAGATCAAGTTACCACCAATGGAAACACAATACCCGGATGTAGATCTTCTATCGTAGGGAGATCCTGCCCAATCAAGCATCCGAATAGCAGACAACTCTTGTATGATTATGGGAGTCATACACCAAACCTTTTCCAGGAGACTTTTTGATGTACTTCAATATACCGGATGACTCGCATTCCAATGATCTTGACAAGGAGAATTGAGGAATTGACTCACCACACCGATCGCAAAGGAAATGTCGTGGCGAGTAACTATAAGATAATTTAATTTTCCAACTAATCTTCTATACCTGTTCGGGATCCGACATTGGCTCCACCTCGATTTGGCAAGAGTTTGGTATTAGGATCCATGGGTGTGTCAACAGGCTTTGAATTCATCAACCCAGTTTCCTCCAAAATATCCAATGCATACTTTCTTTGAGATATAACAATGTCATCGGTAGATTGTGCTACCTCAATACCCAAGAAATATCTGAGTTTGCCAAGATCTTTGGTTTGAAAATGGTGGCAAAGGTGTTGTTTCATCTGAGAGATGTCATGATGGTCACTACCTGTAAGAACAATGTCATCGACATACACTATCAAATAGATACATCCAGCATTCGAGTGACGGTAAAAGACTGAGTGGTCTGCCGATGTCACCTTCAATGAGTTTTCCTTTTACTTTAAGGACCCTTCCCTACCTGCTGAGTCTCCATCTGCTACAGTTCCCATTCCTGTTCTCATTGATCCTTATGTTGAGGACCATCCACCATGTTAAGGTTCCAACATAAAACCAATTGGCAATATGTGGAGTAGCCTAACATGTATTTAAATCATACCAAATGACATGAGGTAGGCGATGTGGGACTTTCAACACACCCCCTCCAACGAAGCCTGCCAGACCAGGCAAATGGTACTTTTGACCCAACTAAAGGGCAACTTTTGGCCCATGACAATAACCGGAAAGATGTTAGGCTTTGGCTCTGATACCATGTTGAATATAGGGAAAAACTGTATAGGGTTAATTTCCCTTATGTATTTACCACACATAGGGCAGTGTATTTATAATAAAGAAAGGTACTCCTCAAAAGAGTAACAGAATACAAATAGGGTAAATAAAAAGATAGTATTTGATATTGTGATTAACAATATCTAACAATATCTCAACAATATCAAACAATATCAACTAATATCTAATCATATCTAACAACCTTCAATGAACAAGAGGGCTATTTCCATCAACCTTATCTTCAGGGGGAGAGTTTCAGGGAAGATAAGGAAGATAAGGAAAGTAGTAATTCTGGTTTTCCCATTCTTCCAGACTTGACATTTGAACCTAAACGAAATTATATTGAAAGTAGTAATTCTGGTTTTCCCATTCTTCTAGATTTGATATTTGAACCTACACGAGATCAAATTGAAGATCAAATTGAAGTTGTAACAAATGAAACAAGTCAAGGAATTGGTCAAGAAAATGAAGTTGGTCAAGAAAGTGAAATTAATTGTGAAGTTGATCAAGAAGATGTTGAAGCTGATCAAGAAGATGTTAAAGCTGGAAAATTTGGTAAGAAGCTGGTATACTCAAGGAAGACTAAGGCCATTCCAGGATCAAGTCATGTTCAAGAATCCAACTTGACTCCACAAAAAGAGGTAACAATTTTTTCTCCAGCTGTGCAGGTTGAAATTGAAACCCAAAATGATCCTAACCTCCCAATTGCCATTAGAAAAGGAACAAGAAAATGCACCAAACAGCCACTCTACCCTCTCTCAAATTACCTGTCCTTTAAAAAATTTCTCTCCTACCCATAAAACCTTCCTAGTAAACCTAAACACTACACTTCTACCTAATACCCTATCTGAGGCATTGTCTGACAGAAAATGGAGACAAGCCATGGATGTAGAGATGGAGGCATTGGAGAAGAACAACACCTGGGAGTTAGTCACCTTACCAATAGGAAAGAGGTCAGTTGGATGTAAATGGGTCTATACAGTGAAATACAAGGTTGATGGATCAATTGAGAGATATAAGGCAAGACTAGTTGCCAAAGGGTTCACCCAAACCTATGGAGTTGATTATTTGGAGACCTTTGCTCCGGTTGCCAAAATGAACACAGTTAGGGTGATATTGTCCCTTGCTGCCAGTTATGGTTGGAACTTGGAACAATTTGATGTTAAGAATGTTTTCCTACATGGAGACCTTGAAGAAGAAATTTATATGGAGATACCTCCGGGATATGGTAAAGATGTTGCTGCCAATACTGTTTGCAAGTTGAAAAAGGCATTATATGGGTTAAAACAGTCCCCCCATGCATGGTTTGGCAGGTTTACTAAAGTTATGACAGGTCTGGGTTACAAACAAAGCCAAGGGGACCATACTTTGATTTTTAAACATTCCAAGTCTGGGGGAGTAACAATATTATTGGTGTATGTGGATGACATAATATTAACTGGAGATAATAAAGAAGAGCAACAATTATTGAGCCAATGTTTAGGCAAGGAATTTGAGATC